CTGTATCATATCATCAGGCTTACATATATATCCCACTGAGAAATAATGGCAATGCATGTTAGGGCCTCTAATTTGGAGATACTAATTAGTTTGGGCATGTGCAGTTTAGTGGTTTGTTTATGCATGCACATTCAGATGATCTCTGAGCCATTTCTTGCATCCCTAATCCCTCTGAAAAAGTTCAGATTGAACTTTTTTTTCTTTTGCAGGTTTGAAAAGCTGGATATCACCCCTAAAAGCGCTCAGAAACTAAAGCCTGTGTTGGAAAAGTGGCTGGCTGAAGCCGAGCACTGGAACCAGAAAGGCCAGCAAAATCTGATGGAGTTTGTCGGTGGGGAACCTTCCAAAAAACGCAAGAGGCGTACTAGTTTCACACCTCAGGCAATAGAAGTGCTCAACTCCTACTTTGAGAAGAATGCTCTGCCAACAGGACAGGAGATTACAGAGATTGCAAGAGAGCTAAACTATGACCGAGAGGTTGTGCGTGTATGGTTCTGCAACCGGAGACAGACACTGAAAAACACAAGCAAGATCAACGTTTTCCAGGTTCAGTAGTGACCTCATTCTGGGAGATTTTCTAACCGATCTTTTATCCTTTTGGGAATTTGAACATGTAATTCAGCAGCACAGAAGTGAATTGTGTTGTAAATATGACTGAAAGAATAGCAACTTTTTGAGAAAATTAAGAAATTACAAAGATCTTTTGAAAGAGTGCTAAAACTGAAGTATAATTGTGTTCTACTTGTTTACACTACTTTTGTGTGGTGCATAAGTCAAACTGCATGGTCCTCTTACCTTATACAGTGATATTAACATGTTATATTTAAAACAGTTCATGAACTTTTATACAAGTGGTTTTATAGGCTATCCCTCTGACTTATGTTAAGTGGTTATGTATTAAGTCACATTGAGTTTAGTTACATGTATGTCACGCTGCGACAATGGCTTGATGTTTGAATACGAATATGCTTGGGTCAGAATGGATAATGTGAAATTTCTAGCTGCTTTAATTTATATCCAGAAAGTATTTGTCCTGCATGAGCAGCTCTGCGAACATAAATGCAATGTTGCCTGACTGACATAGGACTCTGCAGGCTGTGGCTCTGCAGAGTAGTGGTTTACACATTTGCCTATCAGGAGAAAGATCCGGAGTCCTCACAAGGAGGACACACAAATCTCTTTGGGGTTGCATAGGGAGGGCATCCAGCATGAAAAGTCCAAATCAAACACGTGGAGCTACTTGCTTAGGTGACCTCCTGTGAGTAAAGGAGAGGCTGAAAGTAGCTTCTTTTTCTATAAGACTTTACAGACTATATTAACATTCTTTTCATCAGATTTATTAGGTCCAATAAGCCCTTAAAGTCACAGACTCCTGATTGTGTTTTGGGACAATCATAACTTTGATATATTTAGTTGCTCATCATAAAGGTGAGCTTAAAATCTGTGCTCATCCTGTCTTTAATGGATGTAAGGTTTTTTGTTGTTGTTTTTTGTTCTTTTTTGCACCTGTGTGAAGTGTGTGACGCTGCTCCATGTCCATGGGTAACAAGTTAAGTTATCAAACTAGTATTATAGCAGTCATCTATGGTGCCACAAGTGTAAAGTCTTTTTTTTCATGACGCTTTGTTTGTTTGTGACTAACTGATTGTGCAAATGCTCATGACATTTCTATGTGAATTTACGATCGTCTGACCTATTTTTAAACTTTTTTTTTCTTTACTCTTTTTTTTCATTCGGCTTTTAGGTGCTCATATTACTCTGAGTGTCTTTTGCTTTCTCTTTGCTCATTGATTTGACTGTTACATTTTTCATCTTGAGTTTGATTAAGTATATGTGGAAAATGGGAGCTTAATTGGTCTATTAGGAAGTCGATTTAAAGCGGTGTCATGCCGTTTGAAACATTAGTAGCATTTTTAGGCACTCTTAATAAGCCTAATGTCAATCAAATTGATTAAGTAAATTCAAAAAAAAAGTGTGTAATTAACTGTTCAGTGAAGGAAAGCAGTTTGTGGTTTGGTGCGTTATAATATTCAGCCTAAGCGCTTAGTGAACACTTTGCACATGCAGTATAAAGCTACTTTCTGATTGGAAGAAAACAAAAAAAAAAACAGTTGGCGTCTTCTGTACTGATGTTTCAAGGATTCTTTGCACTTTAGTGACAGTGAAGGGTTATGAATGGTTAATCTACCGTCAAGGTTTCAGTTTTGATTTTGAAAGAATTCTCTTTGCTTTTTAATGTGCTTGAACAGTAGGAAGCTTTGCAAAATGTAGCAGTACTGGCAACAGTGCAGCCATCAACCTGACAAGCAACATCTATTATTAAGATTCGCTTCCTTTTTATGCAGATAAAATGTCCAATACTGCAAAGTATAAAGGCTATTATTATTCTGTTATGAGTTTGTGAAACGAATAATACATTTTATGTTCCAGCTAATATTTACCTTTTGACTGACGGTATGAAGGCCTTTGTTGCGGTGGACATGTACCTAACCATAAAGTAATAAATATTACAAAGGTTTTGTTTTCCTTGGTGATCAAAAAGGGAAGGCAATATATCATATTGATCAATATAAGTTGTCCAATAAGATAAATTAGATTAATAATATGAAAGTTATATTAATTTGATTCAACAACAAACATAAAGCTTTGTGTTTTTGGAGGATAAGGGAAAAAGAAAATTGGAAGCTGTTGTTTTTTTTATATATATATAATTTTTTTTGTCAAATAAATAAACCCATCTTTATTACTTACTGATTGTTGTCTGTTGATATACATGACTCAAAAAAGGAGAAAAAGAGTGTCTTTATTAATATACATTGTGGGCCAGTCATCTTCCAAGAACTGCCCACACACTCTGGTCACAGAAGGCTGAGCATTGTCCTGCACCCGAAGGAGCCCGGGGCCCACTCCACCAGCAAAAGGTCTCACAGTGGGCCTGAGGATTTCATCCTGATACCACAATTCATGACATTCAGTGCAGTGTCTCCAGTCTTTATTATGTGTATTACATGTGATCAGTGTGAATTTGCTCTAAATTATAGCGACAACAGGGCACCAGTGGCGGACCTGCGAGTTTTGATATTCTCGAGTGAATGCCAGTTAAGCTGCATGGTGCTAGGCTGATAGCACAGGTTCTCACTGAAGAATATTGGGCCTCTGTGCCATACTCAGTGTGTTTTTGACAGTTTGCTTAGAAAAATACATCTTAGTACCCTGCTGGAGGTCATTTTGTAGGGCTCTGGCAGTTCTCCTCCTGTTCCCCCTCACCCAAAGGAACAGATATCAGTCCTGCTGCTGGGTTGATGTGCTTATTCAGCCCTGAGCTGTCCTTGTGAAGTGGCCCATTTCCAGCTATGTCCTCCACACTTTTCAGACTATGATGGGAAACAACAAACTTTCCTATGGTGGTACAGATGGCTGTGTCATCCTAAAGGAGCTGGACTACCTGTGTAACTTGAATAGGCTGCAGAAACAAGACAATACCTACAGGACACTGACAAAAAGCAAAATTAAACCAAAATCAGTGAGGACACTGGTCAGATCACCTGTTAAACCATTTGTTTTCTGGGGAGTTGGTTTGTTGTTGTCTGTCCAGAGGACCTGTTGTGACTTTCTTTTGGTGAAATTGATTCACAGTGGTTTTTACTCTCTTGACAGACTTATATGGCTGAAATGTAACTGAATTTGTGTTATACTGTGAAAATGGCGTGTTCCCTTATTTTTTTCAGCAGTGCATATTCTTTCTAGGTAGCTGAACGTGAATGATGAAATGTGCTTTTCAACAGAGATATACAATTTTTTTAAAAAGGTTTTCTTTGGATCCCTGTGACACAGACTGAACAATAGAAAATGGATAGTTACAGTAGATGTTACAGTCTATCAGTTTATGTATTCATTTTAGTTTTTTGGGTATAACATGGA